GAGAATACCGGGGTACTTTCTCGAGATTTAAACTGGTTTTTGACAACCACGGATGGCACGGTGCCAGTCAAAGCGTTAACGATCTATTTTGACAAGTTACAAATTAACGGGCCAACAACGTTTCTGGTACTCCGGTACAGTGATCGTTAATGTTCGCTGGCTCGGTTCCGCGACGCGAACGTTATCGAGGGAGGTGTACTATTCCAGGAATCGCCGAGGGAAACGTTTAACGTTTGTTTGTTCTACAGATTCTGAGACGGTTAAGAAATTTAATGCGTTGTGCAGTTTCTTTTACGAATTGCACTTATTTCACGTGACCGCCTACATCGACCACCGATGGCGATCGGTCGCTATCGTGTGAAAATAGTTGTTGCTCGCCGCGTAAACTAATCTTATCCGGGATGGTGGAGTTATTAGTAACGCGAATCGAATATAACTCGATCTTATCGTCGGCCGAGATATACGTGTGTATTGGTTACAAAGTGAAATAATATGTTGACACGTTCGATAAGAGGTGGGATTCGTTTCGTGCAATTTCTGCTGTCGCAGGTGTTCGCCGCTGCGTTCCGCGAACGACTCCTCCTATTGGGTGGTCCGGATTAAAAATCGAATCTATCGCTCGAACGCGATTAATTTTTTACCAGGGCGATGCAAATTTGATATATTCCTGGAGACGCGTAGGTGGTTCCGAGGAATAGAAAGGAACGATAAGGGGGAGAAAGAACGATAGGATGAAAGAGGAGTGCCTGCTAATGGACTTCCAGACAGCTCTGCCTTAGATGCGGGGACGTTTGGTGTTAGGACGGGTGTATAAGTGAGAATCGATGGCTGGTCGGAGAGCTTGCGGGAATAGGAACCGATGCAAAGTCCTGTCGCCACGAATATTAGGCTTAGACAAAAAGGTGTTCATCGAAGCTCGAGTAGTCCTCAGGATTCCAAATGGTTGATTCATTTTCTAAGCAGAACTCGATCTAACATCTTTACACATCGTCAAAAGTTTACGAATTAAACGTCAGTCTTTGCAGAAATTAGGAGCACAAATTATCACGAGCTTCCGTCCCCTTTGCACGTGATATATAATAAAAATCGGATTAGCATTGAATGAAGAGAGTGGCGCGAGACTGTAGAGCGATAAAGGGACTAATAAAAAGCAAGCTCTTAAAAGCTGGTGAATAATAAATAAGAAGCCTCCGTCTTCGAACGCAGAACTTAATTCCGAGAGAAAGAATTCTGCTATATTTTCGATCCAGAGGCAGTTTAATTTTTATGCGAAACACGCTGTACATCGCGATGTTTATAGGCTCAGAGTACGATCATCTCTGTCCCGCGCGGAAGCTATCTACGGCTTCATCATCGCCGAGTCGATACTCCCCTCGCCCTTCCACGGGTTGTTAATTAAATTATCACGGAACAACTGCTGGCCGAGCTTCGAACTTTAACTTCGAAGGTCTCGCGTGACGTTTCCACTTTATATTCGGTCAACTTTTGCTACGGGGTTGTCTTTCCCCGTTGTCCGTGGATCGAACTCTGCGCGACGGCTTAGCCAAGTGGGCGTCGCGCTTGTTTGGAGAACTTTTGGACGCGGCCGCGCATACTAATCAGGCATATACGACGGAACGGATTCCGAGGAAACTCCGGAATGCAGCCTCGGCACATTTCCCGACGGTATCGACAGATTTTTAAACGATTCGAGTATAAATAAATATACGCTGCACAAAATTTTCATATTCGAATGAGACGCGAACCGTACGCAAATTCGACGATCGTAGAGTCGTTCCTCCCCTCGATGATCACCCCTCCGCGCGAAGTAACGATCGCGCCCGTGAAAATTGAATCGCTCGATTCGAGAAAGGAGCGTTCCGAGTCTACCGTTAATCGAATTCGCGCGCGTTCCGCCCCCTCGATTAATAATTTCGCGAGTCGTCGCGTATCTTGCGGCGTGCGTGCAGCGGCCACAAAGCAGCCCCCGATCCGGCGATACAGCGCGCGTGCCGTGTTCGCCGATAATCAGTCGCGGCATCGTTTCTGATCCGAAACGGGCGACGCGTGCGTCACGACAAAAGGGAAACGGCGACGAGATAGCGTCGCTGCAATTTACGCGAATTTGAATCTCCAACTTTCAGGCATCTGATCGCGACGAACTGTTTCGACGAGCCCCTGGGCATCACGGAATTTTTCAGCCGCTCCAAGACACCCAATTCCTCTTCCTTACCGTGAAATTAGCTTTCTTACAAATTATTTTCAAATTAAGTGAATAGCTTCGAAGGCTCGAGGGTAGTAAATTGCAAATTTAAGGCGCTGATTTTTCTCACCATTGCAAATCACCGCCGAAAAATTTCAGCACCTACACGAATTTTTTTTTCGAAACTGAGTAGGATTTCGGGGCCATGTCTATTGACCAAAAATCATTGTAATTGACCCCTGCAACTGAAAATAATTTTTTCAGATCGGTTTGAAAAAATTTTTTTTCGCCCGAAAAATTTGGGCAACGTGTAATATACGTAAAACAAAATTGAATAGTACAGGTTTGAAAAATTATTTGAAATTAAATCGTACGTCAAGGGGTTGATATAAAAAGAGAAGAAGTGGAAATAGTTGAATCGGGCGTATCGAAAGGGTTGAACCACCGGGCGAGGTCCGTTGAGGAAACTCGCGTATTGCTACCTTAACGCAGGCTGGTTCGTATAATCGGCTGCTGACCGAGCCGCGTTCTGCAGTCGTAACAATAGTCCGAGGCGTCGACGCCGGACCACCCGCGGTTCGCCATTAAAGTCGCTTCTGTGGAAAGGGCGCTCGTGGAGAGAGATCGACCGGGAGAAAAGGACGAATACGCGGGAGCGGTCTCTTGCGCTCTTTCCGTCCAGGAATTAAAAGGAACGGCAGGATAAAAAACGACGGAGGCAAAAGGGTAGCCGCGGCAGCGGATTCGGAAATCGAAACGCGGGGACGGGGCCCCCGGGGGAATTAAGAGTCAGGGAACCAGGACGACAGAGTCCGACGCCGATCGTTGTAACGCGAAACTTCCTGGCGCCAAACGCCTCTCTAAGCCCCCGTTCTAATAATATCCCATTGTGCTACCATTAGCCACCGAACACCGCCGACGTTCGTCATCTTGGATTTTACGACGCGTTTTGCAACGACACGAGATTCGAGAGATCTTGGATCAAGTAGCAAGCACGTAGACATTTTGTTTTGAAAAATGTATCCGTTGGAAAGTGAGTGTCGCAGGTGTCAACACTCTCAGAGGATTATCTCTCGACAGTATTCCGCGAGACCCCTAACTGTAAAGTCGTGTTCTGTGCCCCGATCGAATTTAGATCATCGTTATTCGAACGTGTTATATCGATTTGCAATTATTCCATAATATTACGAGGCACCGTCTTCTCGATAATAATATAAATAATGATTCGCGCGGCCTCTCGTTCGCGTTGGCTCGTTAAAGCCGACGCGTTCTGCTCTTTTTACCCCGACGTCCCGGTCGTTCCCGTACACTCCCCTTTTCGAGGAGCGCCTATCGCGAGGAGAAAGGACGGTGAAATTCGCGATTTCACGGAGATAACCGTCGGGCCGGAGTCTTCGAGCGCGTTACGCTCGAGTGAACGTTGGCGCGTTTAGGGGACGCGGTCGACGGGAATTCGTGGGTGTAGCTCGATCAACGGGTCGCCGTCAGTCATTCGTCGATGGGTTGATCGAACCGCGTTCCTGACCTCGTTGCGGTGAATTCACGCGCGATATGATGGATCGGTTGATTTTCATTCAACGCCGCCATTTGCATAAATTGCGCGCTCGCGAGTGGATCGCTCGTTGCGACGTGCGATAATTATTTAATTCGCGATCCAACGACCTTGACCTTCGCGTACGTTGCGAAGGGCACCGTTTCGAACATCTCAACAATTGGCGATCGCCTATTACGATATTTCTATTAATTTTTATTATTTAGGCTTGAAATAAATAATTTGTGTTTGTGAAGTATTAACTCTTAGACCGAAAATAGTAAATAATAAATAGGAACGCCATGATTCCGGTGAGAGAACTCGCACGGGAGAAAATATTCCGGAAAGTGTCGGTGCATCGAGGGAGCGAAATTTTTGGCATACGGTGCGCGGTGTTGTGTCTTCCGGGCGTACTTATTTAAACACACAGTGGTATCGTGCCAGACAAGATCTTGTTAACGAAGTATAGGCGATGTCGAATCGACGCCGTACATTCTTGGGCGACCATGCTCGCGACCTGTTAGTCAGTCAGTCATCGTTTCCAAACTTGTACGGGCTGTCGCGTATCAGCGTTTACAACGGAACGAACTTTATTCTAGAATGCCAGGTATTTTTGTCGCCGCGTACGATCGTACAAATGAAAACCTCTTGAACGATGTATCGTGTCGCTTGTCTTGATTTCTTCGTGGCTTGTCACGTGTCTTAGCACCGCCGACGGGTGCTCCTCATCTGCTCCGTTTTACATTTTGCAAACAGTCGTCGCGTGACAATAACACCTGCTCGAATATACTTATGCAACATGTGCGAACATGCACACTTATCCACAGTAATTATCCACGAATACCAGATCCGATGGTTTTACTTTATTTTCAATTATTCGCGACGTAGCAGCTTTAACGGAGGCAACGTCCTGTCGACCGAAAAACTCTTTTTACTCCGACCGGCATAAATTTCCAGAACGTCCGTTGGATAGTCGATTGTCTTGATAAACGATTCGAGTCCTTGTAAAATTATACTTCAGAGAAGATTTTAAAAGAAGATTACTAAATTTTTCAAATCTCTATTTTTTACTTAGCAGTCAACAGACTTTGTAAAGACGCTATATGTATTATTTTCGAGTCGTGTTAAATGCATAGAATTCAACGGCGTTTCCAAGTTGACGATATTCATTTATTTTAATAAATTATTACGTGAATCGTGTGCACGTAATTTATTGGAAATTTTTAAGTTTGTAAGCGACTGTATAATATTTTCACCCTCGCCAACAATTGAATGATTCCGTTGCAGGGAAATCCGTACGGATTGAAGGACACGACGGGGATGGGCATGACGGCGGATATGGGTGCTGCATGGGGCACGGCCGCCCTTCAACCTGCTGCCACGGGTTACTACCCCTACGATCCAACCCTGGCCGCCTACGGGTGAGTTTATCACCAGGTTTCATGGTCTCTCGGCTCCATTAGATTAAACCACCACCGCACTCTGCTCTCTGGCCCCTTCCACGCCGGTGCTGCTCAGTGCCGCCATTAAAACAAGAGTCACGATCTAGTACTCGCTACACATATCCCGCCAGGAATGGTTATCGTTATCGCGAATCCGTAATATCTTTCCCTGCACGCCGTGGCGAACACAATTTTAGGCGTCCCGCGGCCCGACCGAGCTTACACGGAACAGACTATGGCTGCTTTTGTACGATCATCGTGCTCGAAACGACCCGCAGATAGACGGCCACACTTGGAACAGAGCTGGGCAAATTTCACTCGCGAACAACCAACGAGAATGTTACAATTATTTGCGAACCGAATCTAAAATTTTTGTTCCGTTATAACGTCCGAGTCGTCGTGGAAAATTTAACCCTTTTCTTGACAGTTGAAAAAATGAATCGTTCTCGTAAGAATCGGCCACCGAAAATTAATGTACAAGCGTATATTTTATATACGTAGAAGATTAATCGGTTCGTCTGATAGATCATCGCGACGAACCCCTGTCAAAAGTTTCCGAGAAGTAGAAAAATTCCATGGTCGTGAGATTTCTGTTGTTGCTCGTTTTCCCGACGTAGCGAGACACGAAGCGAGCTATTTTTACTTAAGAATGGGATCGCCGAACGAACTTTTCAAGTAATTTCCATGTTCAGCGCATGATGGATGGTTTGAAGTCTCCAGGAAACGAAGGATATTTGGTTGTTTCGTGGATTTAATTAGTGACTTTTCCAAAGCGATGGAGAGATATCCCTTGTTAGCGGGTAATTTAGTATTTCTGTAAACGCGGTTAGGATAATGAAGCATCGTAGGGGAGAAATATTCGTTGATTCCTCGTTTGATACGTCTCGCGGAGTAGCCTTTATACAGGGTGTACGCCTTCTTGCACACGTCGGACGAGCCTACGTAACGAGAAATCCCACGATGGGGACAATTTGCAATTTACAGGCTGAGCAACTTTCACGGTTTGTATCAGAGCCACGAACAATTTAACGCGTCGAGTTTGTTTCTCGTTGGTTGTTCGATATTTGTACGTAGATAAGAAGGTTGGCCAATCTGCGGGGCTGGCGCGAGGTCCGCTTAATCTCGTTCGTCCCGAGTCAGGCTGGAAAATTGTACAGCGTGACGCGCACTCAGTCAAGGTGGGCGACAATTAATCCGTAAGAAGGGTGACGAGCAAACCGGATGCTCGTTCTTCCTGCTAGTGGATAAGAGTTACGAGGGTGCTGTCAACACGAGGACCCTTGTACTTCATCTTGTAGGGAAGCGGCGGGGAATATCGATGGCGCGAAGAGGTCGTCGGTTACGACGACACTTCGATCCCGTAAACATTCTATCGGCTGTAAGTGATTTCCCGGCGCTTGTATTTACGGCGAGCGTATTTTCGTTTGCCGATCCGCTGTTTTGATTAATAATGGCACCGCGGACGAAAAACCTGACGGGCGAATTTACGACGGGAATTTATTTCGGTAACGTGGCCGCGCCTCGACGCGCGCTCTGTATCGCAGTACACCGGCGATATATCAAAATCTGTCAGAACGAGCGAACGATCATTTATCGGGGCTGGAATTAAAATTAAAAAGAGAGAGAGAGAGGAAGAAAAAAAACACAAAAGCTCGTTCGCGCGACACGGTGCGTTATTGCAATCAGCAACGGTTATCAAGAGTATCGCGGTACGGTCGAACACCGATCGCCCAGACACGGCTCTTTGCGATTCTATTTAGCGTTGGTCGAAGTGATATTAACTAGGGCGTGTACTTTCTTCGCGAAAAAAACGGAGAAATTAATGATGAGGTACTATCTACGGCATGCACGGTAGATCTAGGTGTTGTTTTCTACTCGTGTGGTTAAAACTCTGGCCTTTATTCGGAGCGCGATTGTTGCAGACTCCGGTATCAATTTATGTCGAATTTGGTCGATTCCAATAAAAATATGTGCGATCGATGTTACGTTGAATGTACCATCGACTACTCTTATCGATAACTTGGCTATTGTTTCGTAAAAATCGTGATCGAGAGTCGATGGGTGCCCTATAAATGGACCTGGTCGCGTTGGAGGCTCGCGACGGCCGACGAGGCCACGGTAAGAGCTTTCCGTGGGAAAGAGGGCTATTTCGGAGGACCATGTGTCGCGTGCCGTTGACAAAATGAGACATCGACGTGGATTTCGACGCAGGGCGTAATTGGAAACACTTGGTTACGCGGGGCCTCGATTTCTCTTCGTCGCTCGTAAATCTGAATCCCTCGTGTTCCTTAATTTTTTTTCAATCCTCTTCTCGGAACGGTCCCCGGAGACAACGGGCGTCGTATATTCATATCTCGCGCCCCGGCAAGAGATTCCGTAATTTGGTTGGATAATTAGGCGTAGAGTCCCCCCGGGGTCTCGAGATAAAAATCGGCGAACGACGGAACCCGATATCGAGTCTGGGCTGCTCTCCGATCTCGTCGGATTCCTTTGATCTCCGGCGCGGCTTCTGTCTTTCTCTCTCTCTCCCTCTCTCAATCTCGTCAACGTTCCTCTCGATTCCTCGGGATCTCGAGGGGGATGAGGGAGAGAGCGAGATTGGAGAGAAACCGTGCACGGCGAACGGTTACAAAATGGCTGTAGGCAGCCGAGTGGGCGTACGTAATGGAGGCTTCCAGGTTGGCCTGGTATATATAGTCGCATCGCGAGCGTAGGGAGAGCAGTAGGTCTCTCTCCGTAGGAGAGCGAGTGAGTGAGTTTATTGATTGGCTTCCTCCCGGGGTTGGCTCGCCTGTTCGCCAGGCCTCTCTACACTCTATTCTCGCTCTCCCCACTCTGTCTCTCTCTATCCGTAGGCTACTCGCCTCTTCCTCTCTCGTTTCCTCCCGCTTTCGTGCAACGCTCTCGCTACTCCGGTCCGCTCCGTGCCCCCCTCCGTGCCCCCCTCCGTTCCCTGCCGCTCTTCCTCCACCTCCGCCTCCACCTCCGACGCCGGGGCGACCTCCTTCCACCCTCGAACGCGAGCCAGCTCCCACAGGTGCTTTACTTACTTTGCTTAGCAACCCTCGTGTCCACACAAACACGCTGGCACCGTCGCTCACGCAGAGTTTGATTCTCTGCCATCCCAACCTCCCCGCCGCCTCCTGGGTTAGATCCCTCCTCGAGCACCCGTGTGTGTGCGCGCCGCGTACAAAACTCCCCGGACCGTAGGCATTGTTTATCGTGGAATCCACAACCCTCTCTCGCTATGCGCTCTCTCGTCCTCTCCATTCCCGGAGCCTCTATTAATTTACTTGCTTAATAATACGACAGCCCTCACGGCCTCCTCGTCCCTCTGTATTTGTATCCGGCTATGGCTCTCCTCCACCCACGCCCCCGTCACTTTCGTCGTCGACGGGATGCCTATTGTTTCGCTACTAGCTTTACGAAGAGACGAGGAGGATCAACGGGCTCGATTGATACACTCCGCCCGACGGGAATCGTGCAACCTTACGCCGACAGCCAGCTGTCCCTTTCAGCAATTCGATAATACTGCAAATTCTTTACGTTATACAGAAAAACATGCTCGACAATCTGTAGGACATATCCAAAGCAACGATTCGTAAAATGTACACGTGATTCCTAAGTTGAACCTCCTATCTTAGACTGGAAACAGACGAGTGGTGCGATTTTATGTTTTCCAACCCCCTTAGCGATGTTTTACGAATCATTACTGTAATCGTGTCTCCAAGTTTCGGGATTATTTTAATAAAATTTAACTTTCTACAGACTCTGTGGGCCCCCAGAACAATTTTCTGATCGATCGTGGTCCATTCCTTTTCACCAGCGAGGCGACAGGGTCGTTCGTGAATTTTGGGGGTAAAATTTTGGCAAAGTTTGCGGACAGGGGCGACGCGAGGCAAAAATGTGGTACCTTTGGGAATTGTCGCAACGCGTCTGTCTCCTTTCTTCCGTGACGCTGAGCCCTTGAACATCGGGGCTCGTTTCTTTCAGGGACACTCGGTCGGCCGTTGATTGCGCGTCGATGGGTGAATCTGGAGCACGAGGCGGGAGAAAAATGTCGAATGTAGGGCGTTCTGGGTTTATTTGCGGGCTCGCGAGGTAATGGAAGAAAGTGACCGATGCGCGAATGGATTAACGTTTCCAGTTTCGTGCGTCAAACCTGACGGCTGCCTACCGTGACACGCTCGTGTGCCAGTTTTGACGCACGGTACTTTTTCGGAGCAGCTGCCTTCGCCGGCCAGAACTGTCGTAATATTTCGCACGGAAAGAAACGCGTAATAAATTAACGAGATATTAAAGTAGCTGCTTATCGGTATTTCTTATTCGCGGAATGGGTCTTTTAGGCCTACCTTGTCGCTTCGACGAGATCGACTCAATATTTTCTATAATAAAGTGATAATATTAATAGGCGTCGAATGGATTCTAAATAATTCGACCAGCGACGAATATCAGTTTTTTTTATTCCCGTGGATTTGCCTTTTAAAACATTTTGCCGAATAATTTCCGCAGAGAGGAGCGAAAACGGGCGCAGATGCGAGCAGCGTAAAAGTCTTCCTGCGCGAGGCTTTTCCCCATTCGCTGGCGCCATTTTTCACCAAGATCCAGGCGACACCCTCGCCCCTTTTCGCCCCTACTGTTCTCCGTTGCGTCGTTTTTTCGCTGGCTGGCTCGAAAGTACCCCTGGATGTTACGCGTTGAATAAAGAATCGCTCGCGTAAGAGTGAAAGAGCGTCGATCTTCTTCGAGAAATTCCCAACGAAAGAGTACGGGGAATCGGGATCGTCGTTTAACTCTCTTTCGATGAATATTTATATCGTCGAAGGCTAATTGCCTCCAAGTCGAATTACCGCTTCTATCTCGTCGAACTGGAGCGCAGAGAAAATCTTCGACTTCTTCCCTTCGGCGGGGCGGCGATCGACACGCGATTAAACGTTCCGTGTGCCCCCTCTACGGTCGTTAAACGATGAAACTCAACA